CCATCAGTCAAGCAGAAAGTATCTATTTCCAAGGGAATTTCTGTGCTCAATACCTCAGTGGCTCCACTTCTGAATCCCTTTATCTACACCTTGAGGAATCAGCAAGTGAAAAAAGCATTCATTAATACAATACACAGGATTGCATCTTTCTCAAAGAAATGACTATTCTACTTTATTATATGAAGGAAATGAAGAAAGAAGATTTAAATAACACCAATAATACCTAAGATAAGTCTGCTTCAATTCCCTCTCCTTGTTTTGTTATTCACTTGCACATCTCAAAGAAAATTCTTACTCTTTAGAAGCAAATTTTATTGTGTGAGGAGCAGTAAATTATCTAAACTTAGAGCTTTTCAAATGTTAAAGCAATGCACTACTATTGAGCTATGATCAGAGCTGTATGTAATCTAAAAATTGAAAGACTGGTTCCTCACTAGAACTCATCTTCCCCTTTTCTGTAAGAGGGAACTAAAGTGCTTATTTTTCTATATCCTTTTGCCCTTTAAAATTCCCATTATGACTTAGAATTTGAGTCAATTGTAGAGGGACTGCCCAACATAAATGAGTCTGGTTTTGATCCCCAACACTACAATGTACATGGAACACAAAATGAATTTTAAAATTCAAATTAGTCAAAACTATGAAATTCTGTTTTATATTATATTATATTTAATGTGTGTTTAATGGGAACATTGCTATACTTTATTATTGTGTATTTGTGATCATTTATAAGCAAAGCACCAATATTACATAATATTTTTATTTACATCTTTCTAATTTTTAGTGTGTATTTCATTCAAAAAAATTAAAGACAATCAGGATGGTTTAGCAGGTTAGAGCCCTACCTGCTAATAGTACTTGAGTTTGGTCCCTGTACCCACATGGTAAGTGGACAGAACAGACTTCCTACAAAATTTTCACTGACCTCCTTTAAAAGTGGTGCTGTTTTCTCTTATATATAGACTCACTGACAAAATAAATAAATAAATAAATAAATAAATAAATAAATAAATAAAATGTAATAAATTTTTAAATTAAAAAATTATAGCAGAATTTATCCAATATTGTGGTTACTCATCTTTGAAAATACATATATATGTGTGTGTATATATACATATATATAATATGCATATATACATATATGTATAATTCTTATAAAATGTTTTATGGAAAATAGCTATTTAAGACTTAAGTCTTATTTATATTTTACAAATAGTTCTAGCCATATCTAAATGTAAATGTGTTAGTCTTACTTGTTCATTTGAATATTAGTAATAAAATGGGTATTGATGCCTTCAAAATTTGGAGTAGCTTACTATATTTTTTGAGATCATGGGAGATGATTTGTGAATGACAACTAAATAAAAACAATGCTAGCTCTATCATTTCAAAACTTGCTTATCTGATGCATATTTTAGACATAAGTTTATGATGGAAATAAATGATTAACAAAGAGAAAAATATATACATGTGTAGGTGCCCCATTTAACTTATGAAACAAAGTTTCAAAATCGAGTCCTTCTCTTCAGAGGAATTTTTATCTGTTGATCAAAATCCACAATGGATTATAAAGTTAATTTGTGTGTAGTTATTAAAATTTCATAAAAGTAAGTATAGTAGACAGTAATACTTTTACAGCTATACACCTTATTTCATGAAATATTTCATAAATATATGTGTGTTTTTCTGTTTTACTTTTCACATTGTAGTTTTTAAAATGTGAATCAGTTTTAATTGTTAAAAATTTTCATTTCAAAAGCAAATATTGCTTGTTTTGTTTGAAAGTTACAATGTTTAAATGCAAGCTCACCTTCTGAAAGGAAATATTTTTCCAAGAAACACATTTTTCCTTCTTAAAGCAAGGTGGTGTGGAGGCACAAGATGAATTTAGGAAGTGAAATTGCTTCAGGACAGTAGGTATCATCTTGTTCTTAGAAAGGGTGGTAGTTCTTAGGGTGTTATTGTACTTCATAATTTATATATATATATTATGTTTTTTAATGTACATTTACTCCTTCATAACTAAGATTTCCTGCAGTTTACCAAGTTTTGTGAAAGAAGTTATACTATGCTTTCACACTTTTAAAAACATCTTAATGTCTCTGAAATTCAGGCATGTGTTATTGTAAGTGCCATGTTAGTACACTGTGGCTAGTATTATTAGCAGCATTTTTCCTCCTGGTGATTCATGAATCAATATTTTCTGAGATGTTACACTGATATCTAGTTGAGTTCAAACTCAAGAAAGCAGAAATCTCTGTTTGTATCTTTAGCAGAGAACATCTAGATTGACAAGTAACATGAAAACCATGAAACTTCTGTAGAATGCTTATCAGCATGATTTTTACCAAATTATTTACTTTCCTACCATAGTTTTCAGGAATCCTGGTATTTCTTCTTGACAGTCTTACTCTCTCACATTATATAAGTATAGGTTCATACATATAGATAACATGATGATAATTAGTAAGTTGGATTTCTAATATTCTGATCTGAGTTTGATTGTTGATGCCAATAAACAAACATACTGTTAGTGATGCTACTTAAGGAGATGCAGAAAGAAAAATATATATTCAGCTGTTTGGAAGACAGCTGGGAAAAAGAACAGTACTGATTCATGTTAATAGAATCAACAAAGATGCTAAAATCACAAACTGAAGGAAGATTTCATCCTTGTTAGAAGCCTCCACGCATACTGGTCTATTATTCAGAAAGAGGGGCCATAGCTCTTACTGGTACAGTCTTTTGAGATCTTCCTTGATAGTCTAAACCACATAAAGGTAAGTCCTGCTGATTCCCCAGGTCTCCCTTGGTGCACAGAGCTGTCACTCTGATAGAAAGTATTGAGGGCCGGGCGTTGGTGGCGCACGCCTTTAATCCCAGCACTCGGGAGGCAGAGGCAGGCGGATCTCTGTGAGTTCGAGGCCAGCCTGGGCTACCAAGTGAGCTCCAGGAAAGGCGCAAAGCTACACAGAGAAACCCTGTCTAAAAAAAAAAAAAAAAAAAAAAAAAAGAAAGTATTGAGGAAGTGACTGTGGCACTTATTCCTTGCATGAAACTATCCCTCCCGTACCTGGTTCTGCTCATTAGAGCAGACCTGCTTCTCATAGCAGTCACTCTACAGCTCTGTCCCAACAAGTCCCAGGCAGAAAACCAGGGTTGATATGCAGCTGGAGCTCTTACTGTACATGTAGAATGAAGAGTGAGCCATTTAGTCTTGTAATCTTCTTTGAGAGAAAATATGTCCATATTGTGAACAGGTGATGCTCTTCCCTAAGTTTCTTCATAACCTGTAAAAGGATGGCTTTTCAGACTCTTTCTTTGAGATATTTTGTTTGAGAAGCAGCTTTTGACTCTTTTGAGCATGAAGTATGACTCTGGACATGGGTGGAGACATGAATGTAATCATCTTGTCTAAAAAACTGAAATGGAATAGACTGGCACATGGCTTATTCTTGAGAGTAGAAAGGACATCACTCTAAATTTATTGGGATGAATTGAGACTATAGGGGCACATGGGCACATTAAAAACCTTATTAGAGAAACCATACCCAACAATTTTAGTATACTCTAGACCAAGGAAAGGATTTAATTACCTGACTTGAGTCTACAAAGAAGTGAATATCTCAAGTCGGAATAGTAATGGACCCCCACCAACTTGTCATATTATTACCTTGAATAAAGGACCAACAGGCAGAAAATTCTTGACTGTCCCCAGGACTGTCATTCTCTGACAATGATTTGACCTATTTAATTGATATCTGCCATCCTACTGTACCCCACACTGGACTTTATGCACATTTTTCTGCCTTTTCTTTTATCTGTGAAGGTATTTCCTTAGCAGCTGGACTCATCTACACTAAAACTAAATACTCATTCACATGCAACACCCATACACACTGTGATATGTGATCAGAGAGTTAATATTAGTAGTTAAGATTAGGATAAAAGAAATGCTAGTTTGTCCTCCATTGTTATCAAGAAAATAAGAAATATCTGGAAAACAGCTGCTATTGAAACTGTTGTGCCTTGTGAATTCATTGTTTTTCAATATAGTCTGACATTGTAGAAAGACACAAGCATTTTCATCTATGTTTCTGACATGGCCTGTACCTGACAGGGTAGGAGTAAAGTACACCTTGTATGATGGCTATTCTTGGTTGTCAACTCAACATCTGGAATTAACTAGAAAGTCAAGTCATTGACAGGCACACCTGTGAGAGAATTTTTAATTAATTTGATCATTTGAGGTTGGAAGACCCACCTTAAATATAGATTATATGGCCACACCTCTTTATGGCAGTCTATATGAAATACAAAGTAGAAAGCAGTTTTTGTTCTTTGCCTGTAATCAGAGGCTTTTCTCTGTCCCACCCCATTCTGCAGCCATTTCCCAAATAATCACTCAAAGGCTTATATTAATTATAAATGTTTGGCGGGTGGCTCAAGCTTATTACTAGCTAGCTGTTATATTTAAATTAACCCATTTCTATTTATCTATACATCATCACCTGGCTTACCAGTTCTCTGACATCTGGTTCTTTGGGCAGCTAGATTATGTCTACCTCTCTCCACCCTCCTTCTCCCTCTGTCTCCATTTGGCTTTCCCACCCAACCTTATTCTGCCTGGCTACAGGCCAAAACAGCTATATTTATCAACCAATGAGAGCAACACATATTCACAGCGTATAGCAGGATCCTCCCACAGCATTTGCCAGCTTGCCCTTGCTCATGATGGGAAGCTCATTCTTTCACAGGTATTAGAGGCTACTTGTTTGTGATTCCAAGGTATATTAAGGATCAGCTTCAACATCCAGCCTCAAGGGTTGAGTAAGTACTCTTGTCCTTTCTTTTGGGAGACAGCCATTGCTAACAAGACTAGCTGGACCACAGCCTGCAAGATACTCTAATAAATTTCCTTTGTATATTATGGAGAGCACAGCCAGTGGACTGTGAGACTCTGGATAATTAGAATGATCACACAAGATTTGTCTCTTAAATATGCTCAGTTTTATGCACAAACATTTCTTATAATACTATGCTAATATAAAAATTAAAAAAGACATCTCTTCAAGTGAGAAATCGTCAAGCAGGCAGAAAACTACAGGGCTCCACTAGGAAATCTTCTCTGGTGAGTATAATTTGGAAGCTTTGCAATCTTGAGTCATGTCCACCTTTAAGTACTTCAGCTGTGATAAGCCAGGAGGAAGGCACTGGTGGAGATCCACAAGGTCCTTGAGCATGTCAACCTGTGGCTAGTGCTGATTGCCAGGCATGTGTGAGCCCCTACAACAGTACCAGAAGTTCAAAGGTTACTAAAGTCAGCAGCACACACAGAGGCCAGTGTAATCAGGCTTTCTTTGGACTGTCAGCTCCCAAATAATGATATGGAGACTTCTTAGTAAGTATGAAAGCTTGACCTTAACTTAGGCTTGTTTACAGCTAGCTCTTATAACTTAAATTAACCTGTTTATATTTATTTATGTTTTGCCATGTGGCTTTTTACCTCTCCTCCATACTGTTCATCTGACTCCCTCTGTGTTTCGCTGGTGAATCCCCCACCACTCAGATTCTTCCCCTGAGTTCCTCTCTCCTCAGAAGTCCCACCTATCCTCTCCTGCCTGGTTATTAGCCATTCAGCTCTTTATTAAACCAATCAGAAGGTTCCTTAGCAGAGACACATCTTCAGTGCACAAAAAGATTAACCTACAACATTTCTCCATTTTGTCTAAATAAAAAGAAAAGATTTTAATCCTAACAGTAAAACTATACACAATAGGTGTTAACATTCATACCTACCCCTTGGGGACCCACCCAGTGTCCTGACAATGTTATCTTACATAAAGTCCTCTTTAAGAGGAAACCTCTCCCTCTTGTTTCTCTTCCTTCCTTTCTCTTGCCACAAGGGCACACGCACCTCCTTTTTCCCTCCCTTTCTCTCTGTGTCTCTCTCTATTTTCTCTCTCTCTTTTCCCCTCTCTTTCCCCCTCTACCCTTCTGCCTTTACCCCAATAAAACTTTCCACGTGGGTGCCATGTCTCCTTACCTCCCTTACCTTTGGCTCCATCCACCAAGGCCTCCTGCCATTTTACAACAATAAGAAAAATTATTAAGTAAGAATTATATTCACAATGTCTAGTCCATTTGTACTTGGCAACTTTGGAGAAAGTACTATTCTATCTTATTTTAGTGAGTCCAAAGTTTTGTACCTAAATCACTTTCTATCATAACTTATATTACCAACCTAAAAACATCTTTTCAGACCTTAAAACATTTTCTTAGATAAATGACTTAAGGTTTATGTCTCTCAACCTTTATAAACTTTATATCTCCTTTGTGAGTTTCTTTTTTGAATTTAGTAACTAAGAAAACTGTAAGACTCTAACTAACTTAGTCTTCAACCCCATCAGAGAACTAAGAAGGATAAAATATTAACCTAAGTAAGCAGGAAATGCAGAGCAAATAACTTACAAAACTATAAAAATGACAGAAACAGCTGGCTGCCTGGACAGCCACCCAAGGTTCCTGTGCAATGTTAGGGCATCCATCTTTGGCCCACGGGCCTAGAATATCTGACAGACTTCTGTAAAGCAGGAATTTTGAAGGACTGTTCTACCTTGTCTTGGCAAAATTCAGGAGTCACCTTCTTTTGCATCCTACTTGTCTAATTTGGAAAGCATACTGTCAGCAGTTGAGGCAAGGGCAGTTGCTTACCCAGTGGCTAGCATGCTACATTGAAAGCAAACACCATATGGAGGTTCTTCAATGCCCATCATCTTCTCTGAATTAGATTGGTGCTGCCAGAAGTAGATGTATCTCACTGTCATGGAAAGCCTTATGTTATTAAAACATCTTAAATGCCTTATTATGTAGATCTCTGAAGAGTTTGAAGACTACCCATGTATTTAAAATATATCTCTGCTTACCTTGAAAACATACCTAATATGACTATAAATTTGATTGCTATAGATGAACAACTACTAACCCTCATTTCTTAATTATCCTAAATTGTTTGTAATAATAACTCTCAAGGACTAGAAATATACCTTGCATTTTTAAATGAGCTGCACAGCTACAATACCTTAAACAATAGTAGAAGCATATATACAATACATTATAACAAAAATAACCTTAAAATTGCATCAATATACAAAAATCCATACCAATGTAAAATATTTGAGACTAAAGATGTTTTTTGGTCTAAAGGTAGATTCAATAATCTACCCTTTTGTCCTATCATTCCTATATCCCCCACCTTTTTTTTTTCACTAGATAGGAGAAAAAGGATAGAGGAAAGAAAAAGAAGGAAAGAAATTCATTAATCCAACCTTCTTTGTTAGTTTCCTCCTTGACCATGACCAATAACAACTTGCAATTAATCCCCCTAAACAATAACAAACATCCATAAACCACTGAACAATGAAAAACCACCAACACCACCTCTTGGGATTGTGGATGTCATGTTCTTAAAATTATGCCTGTTGTCTGGGGGTGATGGCATCTTTAGGGGATCCTAAAAAATTGAGATAATGGTTAACTCCTGGGAGAGCTAGCTGTATCATTTGTTGTTCAGTCTCTGCGTGATGGGAAAGTACAGAGCTTAACTGAAATCCTGACTGGAGTAGTCTATGAGGCTGAACCATCTCAGCTGGCCACTTTGAAGTTGTTCTGGATGTAGATTTTTGAGGAAACTGCAACAGAGGCATTCTGAGAGGCTGGTCACCTAGGCTATTTGTCCTCTTCATTGGTGTCTGGTCCTTTTGTTTTGAAAACAAACTTTTAAAAGTAACATACATATCTGCATTAACACAGGTATGGAATATGTGGTATGAACAAATCAGCTACAGATGATTCTATGTTTGAGCATGTGAAAGCCATCTGTCAACTTCATTTAGACTGCATAACCAAACTGTAATAAAAAATCTCCATTCATGCCATATGAAAGGATGGAATGTAATAATAAGTCATAAGCACTCTGTAATCAACAAGAGTTATCATGTCTAATACAGTCTCAGCACTATCCCCATGTTGAGGGATCATCATATAAATCACCTGTCTTGTAGTTTTTCCATGATTTCTTTCTTCAGATCTCCCCCAGTCAAATCCGATCTTTATTAATTTTGAAGGAATCCATAGCTTTCATTTCCTGTGGAAACAAAGACGTAACTTCTCCCCCAACCCAACACATTTCCTGACTTCCATTCTGAAGTTGAAACATTCTTAAAATACATAGGGTAGTTTAATTCAGCAGTTTCCATAATTCAATGTCTCTTAGCAGCTATTTTATTTGTTCATTATCATTTTAAAAACTTTAAATTAATAAAGTACTGTATAGGATCCAGATGTCCTGTGTATTTCCCACCCTTAACATGTTTTTTTTTTAATATTACTTTACTCTTTCTTTAAAGACTTAATTTTATTATTTAAATTATTTTATGACTTTCTATACTCATTTTCTTTTCTTTCTTAAGCATTTAAGCACATTTTCAAGCATACTACACCTGTTCAGAGGCTTTCTAGATCTGTACCTGGCTTTCTGTGAGCCTGTAGCCTTCCCTGACCTAATGAGCCAAACCTTAAATGGCCAGGCCACCTGCCTTGTGGTTCTGTTATGCACATGTTACTGGCAGCTGGCACCACCCCCCTCAGGTGGGTCCAGTAGGCTGCTCCACTGGTTCTGGGCTGCAATGGCTTTTTGCCTTTCCTTAGCCTGATACCCCTGAGCATTGGTGGGTATCCAAACTTACCCACCCCAGCTCTGGGAAGTTGTTAAGCCCACACTATACTGCTGCAGGTTTTTCTACCCAGTGCCAGTAGAGTAACAGCTGCTCCAATGCACAGCAGGGTCTCTTAAAGGGCTCACTGGTTCACTAACATATCAGTGCCTCCCTGGGGCTACTTCATTAATATGCTTATCCGAGGTTCCTTGTGGTAAGCTTCTATCTCACATTATTCTAAGTCATACAAAACAGCTTTTAAATTGCACAAAATGATTTTACTTATGTCCTTAACACACACACACACACACACACACACACACACACACACACATATATATATATTATCATCAGTTCTGTTCTTCTGTAGAATCCTAACTAAGACAAACTGGTATCTATGGTGGTATTTTATTTGTACTGAAATGTGATTTTAATTGTATGTTAATAAATAAAGTTGCCCAGGGGTCAGAGCTATTAGAGCCATAGCAAGAGCATGGTGGTGGTGGCCGCGGCGGCGGCGGCGGCGGCGGCGGCGGCGCACACCTTTAATCCTAGCACTTGGTAGAAGAGCTAGGTAGATCTCTGTGTGTTCAGGGATACAGCCAGCAATGGAGACATATGCCTTTAAGACCTGGAGGGCAGTACTTACAGGCAGTGACAAGGCAGTCATGTGTTTGGGTTTACAACCAATGAGAAGGCAGAACAGAAAGACTATTTAAACACAGACAAACAGGAAGTAGCTCTCTCTTGGGGAAGTTAGGAGCACTGCAGGAGGTAAGATTTTATCTCTGAGCTCTAACCTCTCGGCTTTCTCTTTTACATTGGCTCTGTGTTTCTTATTTTAATAAGACGGTTGGTTACATCTACAGGTATTACAAGTGGTTCTAGGGAAACAGAATTGTAAGGATGACTTTTCTAAGTATCTGGAGCAGTTTGAAAATTCACCAATAGCTACAGTTACTGAAGACTCCCCTCATGCACTAGGGACAGGTCCTGATTCCACTGCCTGGGGGCCCCCTAAACAGTTCAAGCTAAACAACTGTCTCACTTATCCAGAGGGTCTAGTCCAGTACTATGGGGCTCCTCAGCTGTTGGCCCACAGTTCATGTGTTTCCACTAGTTTGGCTAGTTGTCTCTGTACTTTTTCCAGTCATGGTCTCGATATCTCTTCCTCATAGAATCCCTCCTCTCATCGATTGGACTCCTGGAGCTCTGCCTGGGACTGTGTATAGAACTTTCAATAATTTATGAGAAAATAAGGAAAATGATGCTGGTTGGTTCAGGCATTTCATAAATGGACAATAGAAAAGAATATCTTTAAGTATAAAATTAACCAACTTCTAGTTTCTCAGGAAACAGTGAGAAAGGAAAAGAGTGAACTCCATAAAACAATAGCCTGGTTCCAGATGCACATAATCAATCTAAAGGTATCTAAGTATCCTTTGGAAAGGAATCTTCTCTCTGGTATCCATAGAGTTCAAGTTGTGGAAAATCAAATGTAAAAGCCTTCAGTTTAAAGTTGGATGAATTACAATGAAAATTCAAGTCCCCATTGGTGTCAGTTGTTAAAGTAAGGGCACTGATTGGTTGGAAATGGGATCCTCTTGGGATGAAGGTAAGTGGAAGGACCCTGCTGAGGCTGGACTTAACCTCACATTCTAAAGGGTTCGTCTCACTGGAGGAACTAGACTCTCCCTTTAGGAGAGGATGTATTCCAACCTCCACTTCCTGAGGGAATTTTAGTAACCTTTCCTGAAGGAGATGCCAGGGAACTTATACTGATGTCCCTCAGGGCCCTCCAATACTTTCCTCTAGACTTATAACCAGAATTAAGGCTAGTCAGGCTTTTAGAGGCAATATAAAATTTGGTCCTTCAGCAGGTATACTATACCACTAACCAACTTAGTGAGCAGGCTAATTCGTTCAAGCAGAAGTCTGGGGAATGTGTGGGAATGGATTTTAGGATGTGGGAACAATGGTGGAAGGAACATAAAACTGGATCAGGCTGATGTTACTGAAATGGGATCACTGAGTGAAGATTATAGGTTTGATATGGAAACTCAAATAGTTAAACTTAGTTTTAAAAGTTTTTATGATTGGTTGACTGAAACATCTGTCCAAAGACAGCCTACTGGAAAGGAGATGGAGACTGCTGATACTCCTTAACTTAGTGCTGACAATGGATTTTAAGGGTCAGAAAATCCAAATACTAGAGTGAGCACATGTATAAAACCTAATCCTTCACTGTTGGAAGGACCAGAAGATGTGCCTTTCACCAACCCTATAAACTGCAAAAACAAGGAGGGTCCACCTACACACTTTGAAGAGAGTTGTTATTGACTTTTTCCTTGTGCCAGACATTATGTTTGGAGAAACTTGGTTGAATTAAATGGAATGAGTTTAATTGGGTCATGGAGTAGCAGGGTTCAGATAATAGCACTGAATTCTCAAAGGCAAGGAGATAGTAGTTATAGTAATGGGCAACATAGGCAAAGTAATGTCCTTAATAGCCTGATACATAATTGTTAGCACAGACTAAGTGACTTTTATGATGGCATGACTTGTGTGGATCTCGAGTACTGGCTAATCAGTCATGATGTGTCCAGGCATGAAATTGATAAGAATACTATGTTTTTGTTTGAGCTCTATAAGCAGAAAATTTCTCAAACAAATGAAAAAAGTCTACATTGGGTTGTGGCAAAAGGCAGTCTTGGACCATGAACCAATTACATACTTGAGCCAGTTTGTAGACTCAGAACTCCTTTGAATGAATGGAAAGCCAGGTGCCCCTGAGGAAAGTCATTGATAAAATACGTAAGAGTTTTACTCTTAACCTTTCTCCATATCTTCCCCCTAAGGAACCTATGACATTTTACAAGGGTAACTATACACTGGGGGAAAGGAAACACTCAGACTTTCTAGTGCCTATTGGATATTGGTTTAAAACTGACACTGATTCTGGAAGACCACAGGAAATATTCTGACCCAAGAAACAGTTAAAGTAGTGTCTTACAGAAGTCAGGTGATTAATAGAATTGTGGATGAAATCCAACTCATGGTGGGTCCAGTGTGTTGCCAAACTCATCCTGTGGCTATTTTTCCAGTCCCAGAATATATAATTGGGTTAGATATATTTAGAAGTTGTCATGATTCCTATATTGGTTCTCAAACCTGTGAAATAAGTATTATTATTGGAAAGGTTTAATGGAAGCATTTACAGTTGCATCTGCCAGAGAAAACAGTGAAACAAAAACAATATTGTCTCCCTGAAGGAACTGCTAAAACTAGTGCTACCATCAAGGACTAGAAAGATTCAGGGGTGTAGTTCTCACTACATCTCTCTTCAGCTCTCTTATTTGGCCAGAGCAGAAGTCAGATGGAGAATAGAGAATAGCAGTTCAGTATTGCAAACTTAATAAGTAGATAGGATGACCAGTTCTGTGGACAGTCAACCTCCTTTCACAGCTATCCCTGGCATTGCCTAATGGACACATGAACAAGTTGGCCATGGTGGGATGGAAGTTACTCATGGGCTCAGCAGCATGGACTTTCACTCAAGAAGGCTGATCTGTCCACAGCTATTGAGTGCCAGGTCTGCCAACAGCAGAGAAGAAATCTGAACACCAGATGTGGTACCATTCCCCAGGGTGACCAATAAGCTATCTGGTGACCAACTGACTACATTGGACCACTTCCTTCTTGGAAAGGTCAATGTTTTGCCCTTACTGGAACAGATATTCTGGTTATAGATTTGTCTTTCCAGCACAGAATACTTCTGACCAAATTAGCATCCATTGACTTACAGAATGCCTTATCCACTGTCAATGCTGTATTCCACACAGCTTTATTTCTGACCCAGGAACTCACTTCACAGCCAGAGAAGTACAACAGTGGGCCCATGCTTATGGAATCCACCACCCTTACTATGTTTCCTACCATCCTGAAGCAGCTGGCCTGATAGAAAGATGAAATGTCCTCTTAAAGACATAGTTACAGTGCCAATTAGGTGGCAGTAGGCTGTATGGCTGAGGAAGGGTTCTTCAGAAGGTGGTATGCATATTAAGTCAGCATCCAATATACAGTATTGGATCCCAAACTGGTATTCATGGGTACAGGAATCAAGAGGTAGAAAACGGAATGGTTCCACTTACCATCACTCCTAGGGACCCATTGGGTAAAACTTTGCTTACTGTTCCCAAGACCTTAAGTCCTGCTGGCCTGAAAGTTCTGGTTCCTGAATGTGGAACCCTACTGCCAGGAGATACAACAAGTATTCTATTGAAATGGAAGCTCCGACTTCTACCTGACCTCTTTGGGCTTCTGAGGCCCTTAAGCCAATAGGAATAACAGTCATAGGTTAGGACGATTGATCCAGATTACCAAGGAGAAATTGGATTGCTTGTCCTTGGTGGAGGTAAACAAGAGTATGCCTCCAGGTTCCTGCCTTAGTTTTCCTCAAAGGACTGTGTCCTAGGATTATGTAAGCTAAACAAACCCTTTCCTTCCAAGACAGCTTTTGGTTATGATCTTTATCACAGCACTAGAAACTAAACTAAAACGGTGTGTGTGTGTGTGTGTGTGTGTGTGTGTGTGTGTGTGTGTAATGGGGAAGGGCTTACATGCGAAGGCACACATACATGTGGAGGCAGGAGGACAGCTTTTTTTGTTGTTCCTTGCCTTCCACTCTGTTTAGGACAGTGTCTTCTTATTTGTTGCCTCTGTAAAACTACCTGGCTTTTGGAGTTTTGAAGGAATCTCCTGTTTTTTTTCCTCACATCTCCCCTTAGGTGAACTAGGATTGTAATGCATAGTAATGTGCCTGACTTTATATGGCTCCTGGGGATTTGAACCCAGATCCCTATACTCTCATAATAAGTACTTACTCTCTTAAGATATCTTTTAATATGCTCAAATTTTCTATAAATAATAGTTTTCTGTGATAGTTGAAGGGCATAAGACAGAGCCTTCAATGTTCTTATGTCAGTATCTAAAAGCATATGAAAGATGAGACAATTAATAAGGAAGGGTTATTTCAGGTGTAGCCCAGAGGAACCATAGCTAATGTAGAATTAGCCTTTATAAACAGTTTCAGGACTCAGAAAAAGTAGGGTGCTCCACATCCACTGCTTCCAGAATCTCTCTTGTTTAAATTTCCTAGAGAATATGGGCTTAAAAAGTGAAAGGCCTCAACTGAGTTGCAAATTCATTTTATTGAAAGTTTTATGTGTTCCAAGTGTATGGACTTTAGTAATTAACATAGTCCCAAGTGTCATAGAAACTGATGAGTATATCAAGGGGATATGTAGAGAATAAAAACTTGTTGGGAAAAACTGAAACTTTTCATGGTTTCCTTTTGAATGGAATGAATCTTGTTACAAATATCTGGCTCCATTATTTGGAAGCCAGCTACATATATACAGTATTCATATACTTTGTCTTGCTTTAGAAAAGAATTTAATGATTAACTTATCTATGCTCACATAATTTCTCAAGTTTCAGAATCTACCACATCAGTGAGAATCTTGTTCATAGTACATTGCTATCAAACTTTGAATTAAAACATCCATTCTTTAGCCTATATAGCAGGCGGCATTTATAAAACCTATTCACTTTATCTTCAGAGATCTTCCTTTGTTGGTATTCTAAAATTTTTCAACTACTTTAGCAAGAAAACCTCTAGTTATCCATAAAAATCATTTTTAAATCCTTTGAATTTTAGAAGAGAATGCTTGTCCTTTTTAAGGAAACATGCATTTCCTCATGGTAAGAACAAACTGTCATCCCAAAGAAATAAATAAGGTAAAAGAATTGGCACAATATTTGAAATTAAAAGTATTTTTAAAAATAAAAATTATTAATAGAATGATACTTGTTGAGGTCATGAAAATAGTTTATACTCTGTGTTTGTGTGTGTGTATACATATATGCATGTGTGTACACATGCATGTAGAGGGCAGAGGTCAATATCAGTGTCTTTGCCAGTTGCTTTCTACCCTATTATTTTAACTTTATTTAGTGTGTGGGTGTATGTCTGAGAATGTACCTGTTTCATACAAACATGAATCCCAACTCATGAGTTTGCCTGTCATTACAAAAGTTACAAAGACAAAATATTCCTCTGTTTCATCTTCATTTCCATATGGAAGCACTAATATTGCACTGTATCAATTTGAAATAGGAAATCCAAGTTTTATCTGATTCCTCAGTTGAAAGTTTAAGTCATTTCAAACTAGACATGTTCAAATTTAATATGTCAATAACCCTACCTTAAAAATGGCATCATTTTTTCTAAGTGTTAGCATTAATTACTACACCTTCCACTTTGTTATGGAAGAAAGAAATCTTGGGCCTATTTCTTGGGCCTGTTTTTCTAGTGTATCTTTATTGCTTAATCTTTCATAAAATAGTGAGTTTTGCAACTGAAAATGAGAGTAACCTTACCTACTCTTTATTTCCTCTGACAAAATCTAACCATTATCTTAGACCCTTTATTTACCACCCCATGCACATTTAGATCAACTTGCTACTCTTTCCCAGTATTCAATCTTAGTGAAAATTGCAAATTTCATTGTATCACCAACATATTTAAGTAGAAACAGTAGTCCCCAATGTTACTGAGAGTAAGGTAAGTCCTGAAGACATAAATATAATAAAAAAGTTTTCATGTGAAATCCTAAGAAATTATTTTTATTGCTGTTTTAGTGATTTTTTTAATCATCCTACTAGGAAATGTCCAAATCTTACTATGAGTTTTTATGACAGTGCAAGAATAAAATACTTCAAATTGGAATACACTGAAGTAACTAAATATTATTAATAAGAATTGATTCTATATTTCAGTAAATAATCAATTGATAGTCCATCATCATCTATTAGTCCTTCAAATTTCACAATGTCATGCATGTATGTGTAAATGCATATACACATATTTATATATTGACTAGCCCTGAAATGCAGAGTTCACTGGAACTGACATGATTTTTGGTTTTGTTTTATAATTTAGTTTTGAAAAAATTCATCTAACATCTTGCTCCACATCCTTGCCAGCATGAGCTGTCACTTGTGTTATGATCTGGGCCATTCTGACAGGTGTAAGATGGAATCTCAAAGTAGTTTTGATTTGCATTTCTCTGATAGCTAAGGATGTTGAACATTTCTTTATGAATTTCTCATTCATTTGAGATTCCTAGATTGGAAATTATCTGTATAGTTAGATCTGTACAGATCTAAGCAGAGACTATCTAATTGAATTATTTGGTTTGTTGATGTCGAGTTTCTTAAGTTCTTTATATATTTTGGATCAGGCACCAAATTCCTACAGGGAAATTGGAAGAGGGTATCAAATAGTCATGACAAGTATGTTTGTCAGACCCAGAAGAAGAAGGGAAGGGAATTCTGAAATATAAGACATTATATTGAGAGTGTATCATGGAAATTGGTGTACATTTTTACATGTGTTTCATGTGTGTTTTGGGGGGTATGCACAGCTGCTCATGTGCCTATGGAGACCAGAAGATAACTTTTGATGTTATTCTTCGGTTCTGATCATGTTGAAATGGGATATCTCATGGATGTGGAGCTTCCTGAGATTGACTATGTGACCAGTGAGCAATCAAGGATCTGTCTGTCTTTGCCAGCCCAGCATTGGAATTGTAAATGTAGAGTCATGCTTTTAAAAAAAATTAATTTCTAGATATCAAATACAGGTTCTTGTTCTTACAAAGCAAGAACTTTACAACTAAGCTATCTCCTTAGCCTCATAGAAAATAAGTTGAAAAAATTGTATCTGTAAATAACACTGACTATAATTATCAGTCTGGATGCTGAGTTGGATAACTTGTGACCACTTTAGATGTTCCCACCACATTGAAACTTTACATGGTTTAATGTATAAAGCAAAACACTAATTATATAATTTAGATTAAGGGGAAAATGTGAACATAAATGTTATAACACGGTCAAAAGAGTGATGCATGATGAACAATGTCCTGAGGAACTGTGAGAAAGGTTTCAGGAGAAAAGATAAAGTGCCTTTTTTTATCTCAAATGCATTTTGTTCCCTGGATTGTTCTTGATATGACTTCATGCCTCCTGTGACATTTACATTCAATTTATAAGATATGCTTATTTTTGTTGGATATCAGAACATAACTTTAGAGCACAATATGGTGAAAGGATATACTGAGTGCTGTCCTCAGTGTACCTTGAATCTGAATGTGGCCTTCTGCTCTGCTTTCATGCTTTCCCAGATATAATCTACAGTACCTGATTGGCAATTGTGTTTAAATTGGTCTGTCCTGAGAAAGTTCTAGGAAAGGGCTTCTCTGTTACTATTTAATGTGTGCTAACTGGCATTTATTTACCTATTTTTCCGATAGTGTTTTTGTGAACTCAAACAACCTTCCTTTGAGCATTGCTTTCTTTGTTTCATTCTTGCATAAAAGAACACTGAAACTGAAGTAAAATGGTCTACAGCATTAGACTGTAGTACACTCATTCTTTCAGGTCCTCATATCCCAGGTCTCAAAGACACAGATCTACACAGGTTGATGAAAGTCAACACATAAACTCTAGGTATATTTCAAATCCTGTGAAATACTGTTAATGCCATTTTAAAAATTATTTTAAAATGTCAAGGTCTTCTGCATAAAAATTCCAATATAGAGGAGGGAGAGGCTGACAAGACAATCCCCATCTAAGGAATAACTCGTAGTTAATAGCCACTGGGTGAGTATGAGTTTCATTCCTTGTGGATTGGCAACTGGTGGGTCGCCCATGCCCCAACAGATGATCACCAACCTGTGTACTCATTGGCTGTGCTGATTACAGTTATTTTAAAACACTTAGCAGACATGAAGTTGGAAGGGTGATATGTTGGGGGGGGTGAAGGTAGTTGGAGGAGAAATGGATATAATTAAAATACAATGAATATATATGTCTAAAATTTCTAACACTGAATAAAAAATCACCATGGTCTACATGGTTGTACCAGGATCATAGACATTTGACCTCTATGGGGGAAAACATTATGTGGAGAAAAATCAAAGACATAAATAAATGGAGAGATTTCCCATGGTGATAGATAAGAAGACTCAGAACTGTGGACATGTTCATTAGGACAATGACATTTGTTTCTTATGCTAGTATAGCAAGCATGCTTACGTCAGGCTGCCACCCAGTCAATGTATTTTTTGATATAAGGTTTCTCACTGAACCTGGGACTTGTTGGTT